ATCGAATTACATCTTTTCCTGTTTCTCACAGAGATGCACTCTTTTTTATGCTCCTGGTTATTGATCTCACAAATTCTGGCACACTCGCGCAATTGGCGCTCTTCGGCACGAATCAGGCCGAAGTGACGAATAACATAGCGCGTGGCTTAGAATTGCTGGGACCGGCCATAACCTTAGATACTATAGTGGAGACGCTTGTAATCGGTGTGGGAACGTTGTCGGGCGTGCAGCGTCTCGAGGTGCTATGCACATTCGCCGTTATGTCGGTGATAGTGAATTATGTGGTCTTTATGACCTTCTATCCAGCCTGTTTGTCGCTGATACTCGACTTGTCACGCAACGGCATGGACATGTCGTTAGTGCGCGCTAAGGCCAAAGACTCCATACTATTGAAGGCACTAAACGATGAGGAGCAGAAGACGAATCCGGTAGTGCAACGCGTGAAAATCATAATGACTACCGGTCTGATGGTTGTGCACATCTACAGCCGCATCGTCTTCTCGAACAGTGAATATGAGACGGTGGATAAGAAATTGACGCCGCAATTGAATTTGAATGCGAACAGCAGTCGCACGGAGTCGGGTGAAATTACGGATATGATCATCAAGTAAGTATACCACTTCTGTTGATGGTGTAATGTCAAAACGAGGCTGTACATTTTCTTTACATTTTTCATTGCTTCCGCCGGCTTTGACATAATGGTTTCTTTGACTCCACGTTTTCCTACAATTACTTAGCACAACATGTATTCCAATTTATGAGTTACAAATCTACATTCTCTGCCTTACTCTATCTCTAGATGGCTTACCATGAGCGCTGACCAGATTGTCATACTAATCCTGCTCATTGCTTTGGTGGTGAAGTTCATCTTCTTCGAACATCGGCACGAGCTGCGCGATCAACTGCGTCAGTCCACAGTTGCGCTTGCGGCGAAAACTTCCCAAACTCAAGCCTTGAGCGAAGTCGATGATACCGCTTTAGTGCCCCCGATGCTTGCCACCGTAGACGATTCGAGTCAAACCGAAATTGTTGGCTCGCTGCCTGAGCTCATTGTTACGCCTCCCGGCGCCAACGTACTCACCCATCGTGCCCCACTATTCACCATCGAAGAGCAAAATTTGGTAAATGCATACACTCAAACCGATAGCATCACCGATGTAAGCCAATTACTGCCACTAGTGAAGCGTCAGGTCGAATCACGGCCGGCCCGCTCACTCCAGGAATGCCTACAAATTATTCAATCCACCGAAGAGGGCTGCAGCGCCGCCAACCTCACCGATGAAGAAGTCACTTTAGTCGTTAATTGCGCCAGTCAACACTGCCCCTTACACAATATCGAATCCATACTGGATGACCCGGTGCGCGGTGTGAACTTACGTAGGAAAATAATTTTTGAGCGTGCCAAAGTACCAGCGGAACGTATGGACTGTTTACCCTATCTGCACTTCGATTACCGCAAAGTGATGAATGTCTGTTGTGAGAATGTCATTGGCTACGTGCCCATACCAGTGGGTTATGCCGGCCCACTATTGCTGGATGGCAGTAGATATTTCGTGCCCATGGCAACCACCGAAGGCGCACTGGTCGCTTCTACCAATCGGGGCTGTAAAGCACTGTCGGTGCGCGGAGTCATTTCGCATGTAGAGGACGTGGGCATGACGCGTGCACCCTGCGTGCGCTTCGGCAGCATTTCACGCGCTGTAGAAGCGAAAAATTGGATCTACAATGAAAAGAACTATAAAAAGATCAAGAGTGAATTCGATTCAACTTCGCGTTTTGGACGCTTGAAGGAATGCCTGATCGCAATCGATGGTCCACAGCTTTACATTCGATTTGTGGCGTTGACAGGTGATGCCATGGGCATGAATATGGTCTCCAAAGGTGCTGAGATGGCGCTAAGATGCATTAAGAAGGAGTTCCCCGACATGCAAATCATATCGCTGAGTGGCAATTTCTGCTGTGACAAGAAACCGGCAGCAATCAACTGGATCAAGGGTCGCGGCAAATGTGTGGTAACCGAGTGCATCATTCCGGCTCAAACCCTGCGCACTGTACTGAAAACGGACGCCAAAACACTGGTGGAGTGCAACAAATTGAAGAACATGTCCGGCAGCGCCATGGCGGGCAGTATAGGTGGTAAGTAAAGCAAATAAAAATGCAACCATATTTTTTTTTTACTATTCTCGCAAACCATTTTTTTTTTCCCACTAATTTTGCATTTATATCTCTTCTTCTGTCGCAGGAAACAACGCACACGCAGCCAACATGGTAACGGCCGTTTTCTTAGCCACCGGTCAAGACCCCGCACAAAATGTGACATCCAGTAATTGCTCCACCGGCATGGAATGCTGGGGCCCGAACAATGACGACTTATACATGACTTGCACGATGCCCTCATTGGAGGTGGGCACTGTTGGCGGCGGCACCGGCCTGCCCGGTCAGGGCGCATGCCTGGACATGTTGGGCGTACGAGGCGCTAATCACGCGCATCCCGGCGAAAATGCCAAGAAACTGGCACAAATTGTGTGCGCCACAGTGATGGCGGGCGAAATAAGTCTGATGGCGGCGCTGGTCAATAGTGACCTAGTTAAGAGTCACATGCGTCACAATAGGTGAGTACAATGCAAATGCCAACAATATTGTGGGTGTGTGTATGCGTGCTTATTTTTTCGTCCGCATTCACAGGTCTTCCGTGGCTATCGCAGCAGGCAGCAAAGGAAGTGCGCTAAATGTAACGGTTTCGAGTTGCAGCAGCATCAGCTAAGGCCCCGCGCATAAATCCCACTTGTTAACCCAACAGTTGTTATTCAAATCACATTATTGTGCAAACATCAGTGGTACGCACAAAACTCGTTGAAAAGCACAACGGCAGCGCCGACTGTGGTCATCTGAAGAGCGATTGCGAAGTGCGATTGTGCAACAAAAACAAAACAAAAATTCTCCACTATCGCTTCAACAATGTATCTACGAAACTATATAGAGGTGTTGAGCGCTGGCTGCTGTAACATAGGAAAGCAAACTCTAAAGCATTTACAACCTACACACATACATACAGACATATATGGGAGCAAGCATTAAAGTAAAAATAACGTGCAGCATCAGCAAAAAATTGATAAATGTTTGCAATTAATGTTTTAACGCGTGATGTAAACAAATTACTACATATTTACATACATATATCATATATGTACTTTGTGAAAAGGCGGAAACAGATCATTTATATAACCACTGAGAAAAATCCACACCTATTAATTTGTTAAATTTGCAACGACAATTGAATAAATGTATATATGTGGCATATAAATAAATTATATAATTAGATAGCAGTGAAGTGCAAAGAAGTCCGGCTATAATCGCGTAAGCGGTGTCTACGCCAATTAAGAAGAAGAAGAAGAAGTKCAAAGATCTGCACCGATTAGCTCATACAAAGTTCACAGAGTACCAAACAGCTGATTGCATTTGCATGAAAGTAAACAAAAACAGAATGCATTAGTTTTACTAGCCGGACGCATTTAAAAAACTTCAACAAAGCTAACCTGTCAACTAAATGCAACTCTCCATGAAACACACGCATATCGACACCTCACCAGCAACATTGGCGCCCTACATCTTGTTTGTCTTTGGAGTGTTGAGTTGCACAAAACATGGGCCAATCAGCGCAGTTCTAATTCACACACACACGCAAATACAAACAAAACATACCCACATTCATACATAGGACTATTTATTGTAAGCGCATACACATGTACCCGCCATTTGTATCCGAATACCTGCTCCTTTCCAGCGGAAGCCTTGCATTCGTTTTGCGATCGTTTATGCTCGTTGCAATTGACCATTATGCATTCTGATTTATTAACGGGGCGAAAATCGTTTCAAGTTACTTTTATTTTATGTTAAAAATAGAGGTTTTTTCCTTGTTTTTGGTTTTATTTAATTTAAGCATTATAACATATACAAAAAAAAGAAAATAAATAAATTGTAGAAAGTATTTTAAGTCATATTAATTATTTCTTGTAAGGTTGTAAAATCAAATGATTTAACTTATTAATATACAAATTATGTAAGATGTGTAGGAATATCATGTAAAAAGCGTGTAACTACTTATAGCAAACAATTGTSGATAAATTAAAATGTGTCAATTCGAAAGAAATAAATATGTATATATATATAATTTTTTTTTTTTACTTATCGAAAGGAAGTTGCATATCCTTAATTATACATCTTCGAACGTTATCGCTTGTGCAATAAATATACCCTCTTTGACACCCAGTGTGGTGAAAATTTTTAAACTTCAAGTAGTGATTGTTATATTGTATGCAGCATTTGTTTAGTGCATATACATACATAGTATACATATAAAAATGAGTAGTGTAGACGCCTAGAAGAGTTGACGAAAATAAGAAGAAAATCAATAGAATGTAATAGAATACATATTTTTACTATTAAAAAAACCACAAATTGCATTTTCGATTTTTAAAAGTTTTAAAGGACAGACTCACGGTAAGTAAGCAATGTGGCGATTTGTTCCTTTAAATATTGTTGCTATTAATAGGAAGCACTTAATTTGTAGAAATTCGCAATCCACCAACACCCAAAGTCAACTGAGCCAATAGAACTCAATCAAATTTCAAACGACTGATGAATTGAGTGACCACATTTTCAGGGCAGAAGGAACAGTGGACAGTGGAAGCCATATTTTTAACTATCGAGTTGTAAACCAAATCAGAAAAACTTCTCTTCTTAAATGCGAGGAGAAATATGTTCGCGGAGACTTCCTGCGTAAATGAAATCTTAACAAAAACCACGCCCAGCTTCCAATTTCTAGGTTATTAGCAGCCAGTAGCAGCATCAGTTTACTAAAAACATAGTAAACCACATAGAAAGTCTTCAGAGAAAAATAGAATCAAAGTAAAGCGCTTCCAATGTCATTTGTTCCACGCACACATGTTCAATAATGCATAAAGTTACCAGTTTTTATTGTTATGTAAGGAACAGAAATCTAAATTTATTTAATTTTATTTGCTTCTTCTTCCAAATGCTTTTCAAATATTCATTGTTTTCAACTTTGCTTTCATTTATACTACAATTCATTATTAAAAGTATATATAAACATATTTTTGTTGTAGTTTATATGCAGAGCACAAATGTATGGAAAATCGGTAGGTAGCTTAATAATAGAGAATAAATGAAATATCCCACACATAAAGCACATGCAATTGAAAAATGATATGATTGGACATTTGCATTTTTTGTATGTTTGGTATGTAAAATCATAAATTAAATTTATGCATATGAAAAACGTTTTTGAACTACAAATTCGCAAAACGCCTACAAAAAAAAATTGATAAATTACGGTATTCACTGATAAATTGAATTATAACTCAGCAACATTGCATATTTTAGCGCTGAGCTCGACCCTTTTGCTACCGCCTTCTAACTATCTAGTAAATATTTATAAACTGTTGTGTATAACTTCTAGTTGGATCTAGAAAACATTTCTACTGCGCTGTATAATTCGTTGTTGTTTATACGGTACAAAAGAAATCAATGTTTTGCCTTTAGCCATAACCGTTATTTGATCAGTTTTTAGCTTAATTTGGACATATTGAGTTTTTTAAAATTCATTAACAGTATTTATGCAGTCCATCTTGTGTGCATTCAATTTTCAATTCTGCAAAATACTTATTACATTTTTTTCTTTTCCAAATATTAAATAGAGTTTATTATTTTTATTACTTCTGATTTTTGTTTTATAAAAACGATGTATTAGTTCTTGCCCTCATTAACCAATGGCTTTTTGGGACTTGGCTCTGTGCAATCTTCGTGATCTGGTACAGCGGTGGCTTCAGCTTCTTTTTCCTCCTCTTCATGATTGGCAGTTGATCCTATACCATTTTTCGTTTCTGTCGGCGCACGGCATTCTTCTGGATGTGATACTTTTCGGAGTTCAATTCTCTCTAATAATTCTTTATGCAGTAGCGCCATGTCTGCCGGACGCCCCATCACTAAAAATATTTTGATTTTACCAGTATTGTCCATTGCAGTAAGGCGCAGTGATTTGTTGCTTGGACGTTGTGCTACCATACCAGCCCAAACCTAGAAAAATTAAGAACATTATATAATACTTTTCCTTAAAGCCTTAATCCTAATTCTCACTTTTGTATTAAGCAATAGGCGCAGATTGCCCGATGTTCGAAATACAACACGAGAGCATTCTTGCTCATTTTTGGAGTCATTCAAACGAAGACTGCCACGACCGCGCTCCTCCCAGTTGCTGTTGACGAAGGCAAATAACTTACAATTTACCTATATTGGGGAAAATTATATCATATTAAAATAGTGAAGGAATTGTATTTATTTTCAATTTTTGAAACACTTACATCGACAATGTTTATTTCATTTTCTTCGCCTGTGAATGTCTCCACCTCCTCGTATTTGCGCTTCTGAGCACGACTTTCTTCGTATTCGCGCGCTACATCGGTTAGTGTCTTTGTTTCATTCTCTTTTGTCGTGGCACCTTTGTCAGACTCCACTGCTTTTGCTGCATTTTGTATAACACTCGAAAATAGTAACTCTCCAGTAGTAGAACAACTCGCCTCGGAATTGTCTGCTTTCTGTACACCATCAGGATTGATATTCTCCTTTACGGAAAAAAATTCCAATCAATTAAAATCAATACATAAATGTAACTCAACAGTTCTTACGCCAACAACTCGTTCATGCACATTTTGTCCAAAAACAAAACCAGATTTTTCCACCAGCGGCATAGAGCTTTTGGCCGCGGCAAAAAGATTTGATCGTTCGAGCCCATTTTTGCGAAGCAAGCTTAAAGGATCTGATCGCTTAACAAACAGAAAATGTACAATTCAATTAGTGTGAAATGTTAACATTATGAATAAATTTAGCTTACTTCATCCGGTTCATCATCGTCTGCCGACTTTTTCTCTTCCGTCGCCTTCTCATTGGCTGCTTCGCCTCCAACAGCTCCTTCTGCAGCATTTGAATCATTTTCTGTGCTCTCTTCCTCCTCATCGTCTTTCTGTTCCCTCATGAAAGGATTATGATTGGTTGTGCTGCTTACAGAGTCCTCTTCATCATCACCATTATTACTAGTAGCTGTTGAATTGGAAATCGAATTTGCATTCACATTGGCAAGCGAATTGTTGTTGCTGTTGCCCAGCGCTGCTGCACCCAAAACAGAAGGACCAAGTACTGACGGTCGCAATACTCCCGAGCGTATAACCGGATTTACACCACCACCAGTTAACCTTGATGACTGTAAGATTGAATCGCTACCAAGACTGTTTGATTCGTTTGAGGTATCTAAAAGATTACAAGCAAAACGTGTAATAGCCGGCTCGTACTTCCAGAAATTTTCTATCATTTTTCAACTGATCTTCTTACAAATACATGACTTCTAACAGCACTGGTTTGCAAAAATATATTTCTATACTTCACTTTCTATTCGATACTTATACGTACCATTATTCTCGGACATTTTATATGTATACTCTTTAAGCTAATAGAATTTATTAAAAAATGAAATGAATAAAAGTCTTTCAAGTTTTTGCAAATTAAACTGCTGAATTGTCAAACTTCGTCGAGAAGGAAGCCAGAAAAAGCGTATGCAAAATGTCAAAACAAAGTAAACGAGAAAAAGCCGTCTTACAATGTTGCCATATCACAATAAAGTTTAACGAAGATAACAGCTGGCCAAAAAATTATTATGATTGCCTTTAAATTTTTTTCAACAGAAAATTTTCTAAAGTATAAATTAGATATGTGTGTGGAGAATATATAGACGTATGGTATGCATTTATTCGTAAGGACACAGAGAATTTATTATGAAAACTTCGATTTTAATCGACGATTATTTACAAAAAAAATTTCTGTCAGTCAGACACATCAGTTAAACTAAATTTATAGTATTTATATCTCCACTAAAACAATAACAAAAACTTTCGCTTAAACTTCTAGCAAAGCTGGTGCTTTCATTGTAGAAACTCGAATAGTAGTGGCATTATACGCAATGTATAAAAATTATAACCTAACATTTAACCTCTTCTGTTTTTTAATAAATTTAAACGTTGTTGCATTTCTGAAAAAAAAAATTATAATTTTACCCACTACCTTAGAAGACGATAAGAAACATTCTGCATTTACGATTTAGCTGAACAAATGAAACAAAACAAGAGGGAAGGTTTGGTTGCACCGAAGCTATAATACCCTTCACATTATTTTCATCAGTCAGTTTGTGCAGCAACTGAAGTTCTTATGGTTCAACTTGTGCAATTTGCTCGGAGATGATACTGTTGTCTTGAACAACAATCCATGTAAAATTTCTTGAAGATATCTTGTAAAAAAAAGAATCTTACCAAGACTTGATTTTAAAGGGTCGGCTCTGTGTGACCCTTCGAAAAATCACTGATTTTCCCCGATCAACTAATCGGTCCGCTTTTTATAAATAAATACATAAAATATGAATACAAAATGATTTTTTTWTGCTTATTTATTGGGTATATAATAGTTAGAAAAAATTGTTGAAATCACATGTAAACCAAAGGTCCTGTACGATGTCCACGATTGCGGCAGCAATTGATCTAAAACAAAATTTCAAAATTTTTTTGAAATTTGAAAAAAATGGGGGCGGTTTGAATGAAAAGTTTCGATTTTGGCTCTTTTTGACTGTTTTCGTAAAAAATAAAAATATTTAAAAAAAAAGCTTCCATAGAGAACGCCGTTAAAAATATTCTCTTCAAATTGGAACTAGATATCTCCAAAATTCTTTCTTTGAGAGTGGACCCCGTTTTGTAAAAACACCATTCTGAGAAAAACGCGTTTAAATATTGAAGTTGCAGTGTTCCCCACTCTGCTCCCTTTCTACAAGAAACGCTGTATGTTTATATGTATATATTTATACAGTATATACTATCCGATAGTGCAACAAAAAAATCGATTTTTCGAAAATTTCACACTGAGACCGATCCCTTAATTGAACAGTTCGTTTGACAGATATATGCTGTAGTAATTCGATATTGGCAGTTTTGACAAATGAGCAGCTTCTTGGAGAGAAAAGGAAATGTGAGAACTTCATATTGATAAGAGGGAATACTTAGCTCGCGTAATGCAAAGTGTCGGATAGACAGAAGGGCACGACGTTTCTTTGGGGCAAACTTAATATACCCTGTTCTGATAGACATCGAAAAAAAAATTTACAATTACGATAAAACGATTTTTTTATGTCATTTAGACTAATTATCAAGAGAATACTATGTTCCCATACAAAATATAAGGTTCTTATTAAAAACTAAATTATACAGTCCAATATTATGACCCATAGAATATAAACATGTCAGAGCATCTAACGAATATTTTTATCAGATTATATAAATTCCAAAGGTAATGTATTATATTCTGCAGTCCCATGTGTGAACAACATTGAGTAAAGTTATTATTTTTTTAATATAAAAACTACAATAGTTTAAAATTGAATTGGCTTACGATAAAATAATATATTATATTTAAATTTTTATTTGTAAAAATACATATATTGATATAAATTGTTACATATGCGCTTAAACTTGCTATAAATGAAAGTATTAATTATTTCTATGAGAATCCCGAAGCAACTATTTACAGACGAATATTCTTACTTATGTACATATGTACGTTAAGGCACGTTTGGAATGTACTCGTATATAATTGCCCACAATGCAGTTTATTGCTGTAAAAAGTAGTTTAGTGATTCCTATGAAATCTCATTAGAATTCATTATAACTATCATTTATGGATTTGAAAACAATTTGTGACATGGAAAAATGAGAAATCTTATTAGTTCTAAATCAATATCACAGCTTAACAATTACTTCCAACCAAGTGCTACAACTAAACTAACTTTTATAAAATTCTCATGTAAAGTATTTATGTATACATATATACATACATATATATGATATATAATACTCATACACTCATAAATACTATGGGTTTATGTATGATGAGACTAAATATTTAGCACTGCGATTGAACTTATTTCGTAAAAAACTTAAATTCCACAAATTTCTTATACATATAAGCTAATACTAGTACATGTAATTGCCGCAATTGCCGCCTGCAATGAAACGAAAGTAAAATGCCAAACTTGACATTGCACCAATATTCATCGAAACTTATAATAACCATAATTTTTACAACGGTAAATAACTAGACTAGTTGTTGGAAAGCCGCGCATAAATTTGGCAGTAAATAAAAATTGTCAGATTTAGCAGCTACGACTTCCTTCCATTCACTTCTCCTCCTCCGCACTTTCCTCTTTTGCAATGGTTCTAGTTTGTTTTGGTCACGACACTCACACGGTCCCACCCAGGAAGGCAATCTGGTTCGGTTGTGTGACTTGTTGCAACCGCGCACACCGCATTAACATTCATATATACAGTTACACATATGTATGTATGCATATATGTGTGTATGTATATGTATCATGGAGTAGAGTGACGGCGAAAACTTGTGTTGAATAAAATTAAATGAAATTAATGGCAATTAGCTACGAACTAAGTGAAGATCTCGCACTGCTGCGCGAAATGCCCGGCGATGACAGTTTCTTTGTACAGTTTGTTCAAATTAAAATTAAGTCTACGAGTCTGTAAACGATTGAGTTTCTCCAAATCACCAACGGCGGTCAGCAGTCGCACTGCTCGGCAGATAGAAGTCATCTTCGTCGTTGACAAGCAACTCGCGCATCTCATAGCGTCGTCTGGAAGCGCAAATACAGAATAAATTATACAAAACGAATTACAAGCAAAAATTATAGATAATTCATAACAGAGCGAAAGGCATCGAATCAATTAAATAGGAATTTAATTGCATATTTATGAAACACACTCGTTCGTACAACTTTTATTTGTTAGGCATGGGTAAGTTTGACTTTAAGGCATTTTACTTACTCAAGGTATGAGCGCCAGACGACAAGCGCCACATATAGCGATATCGAAAACAACGCCACGAACACCAACACCATCGTGAGTATCATATGACTGTGCCTAGCGTCGCTTTCATTATCGTCATCATCATCATCATCGTCACCGTTAAGATCTTTATCAACAATAGCAGCGCTATCATTGCCATTGGCATTTGCGACTTGAACTTTCTGTTTGGTACCAGCATCCTCCGCATTCACTTCTATATTTTCCGCAACAAAATTATCCGTGTCCATTTTGATGGCTGGCCCCCTGTAAATATGCACAAATCATTAAGGCTTTCGTTATTTGTTTATACTTTAATTCTACCTAAAGCGCTCCTCTAGCTCTGCAGTTTCCTTATTAACATCGCGCACCTCCAACACCTCCACATCGTACTTGAGCCTTTGATCCTCACTCAGATCGGTTACTATACGAATTGAGTCTTCATCGTAGTGCTTGAAACTGGCTGTTTCGAGCTTTGGCTGTAAAGAGAATTGTAAATATATGATATTTATGCATTTAAATCAAAGAAAGTGTTTTTAAGCTATTTGTTACTCCGATCGCTTCTTACTAATTATCTAAAGTGATTTTAAAAGCTAAAAGACTGTCGAACCACGTTTTGTAGATTAGGGTACAAACATTGTGACAAAAAAGTACCCTGAAATTATAAATAAAACGCAAAGTATTTAATCTTTTATCAATATTTATTTTGTCGCCTTCAAAGTAATCCCCACCAGATGTAATACATTTTCTTACCTGTCCTGCCTGACAATATATGCCAAAAACTTTTCCAATCCTTGAAACACTTTTGATTAGCACTTTTTGAGATGGAATTGCGCGCCTTCACCGAATTTTGTTTTATCTCTTCGATAGACTGAAAACGGGTTCCAGGAAGCGGAAATTTCAGTTTGGGGAGCAAGAAAAAACCACACGGAGCCAAATCTGGTAAGTACGGTGGTTGATTGATGTCATTCATTGCATTTTTAGCTTTGGATTCGGGCACAATCTTGATCTTTTTGAAAATAATTCAGTTTTATTGGGATCAGTCGAACAAAAAAGCCGTTTCATACCCAAAATATGCAGCAAAATAATTCGAACGGACTCGCGAGAGATGTAGAGCCCTCTTACTATCTCTTGTCTGACAATTTTCAAGCACCCTTTTAATATTTGCCTCGGTTGAAGATGATGTAGTTCGTCCAGAACAAGACATGTCGATCTCTCGACCGTTTTTGAAGGCTTTGTACCACTCGTAGGCTTGTGTTTTGAGACAAATTCTTTGTTCGATATCCATTGTAAAAATCGCACCGCACTACTGAGGTATATCGGTTTAAGCAGCTGCAATAAACAAACTGCCCTGCGCAAACAAATTGCGCTCATATTTAGCATCGAAATTAAGGACAGTCCTACCAACTAAGCAACCTTTTTTTGAAATATCATTTACTCGGGGAATTTAATTACAATTTTCGGGTACTTTTTTGTCTTAATGTAGAGACTACTCAAAAATATTTAACTGATTTTGCAAAATTTTCAAAAAAGCCTTATAGAAACCCATGGCGTAAATATTTCTGTTAAGTTTATATCTACTAAGAGGCACCACTTCTGATTTTTTACCAAAATATTAATTTATGTTTCGAAAAAAACGTCGATTTATCGACCTTCGGAGGACATACTTCTTTTATGATGATAAAAGCTTTGAACGGTTATTTGTTGCATACCGAACCACCATGCACCTATTTGATTAAAATATTTCATACTAACAAGTAGTTTAGCTATAACAGAAAAATAAACTAAAAAACAAAACGATTTATTAGAAAAACTAATTATTTCAATCGGCAACGGAAACTAATCTCAAAGCTACTGATTTATTCATAATTCAAGTTAATAACGTAATTTATTAAATATTCCACAGAATAATTTAAATTCAATAACATAAGTACCCATATTTATACATACATATGTATGCGTGAATATTATACAATATCTTTAAAATATACCCTTAATCAGCGATTTATTACGCAAATTTTAAATATATGTGTTATATTTTTGGAACTTTCGAATAGTGGGCGAAATCGGATGAATGAGGAAGCATACACAACCCGCTCTTCATTTAAAGTTATAACTGATTTTATCGATATGACAAGTGGGGGTCTGCTTCGAACAAAGAACAATTAATGAACAACACGAAAATAAATTAAGCAGAAAGTCGCTTAAAAATAGTGTGAACAACGTTTAATGGAGCGAAGATATCGGCTTAAAAAGAATATCACGATTAACGCACATGTTTATATATTGTATATTAAAGGTGCAGTACGATTTTCTTGAAATAAATGTGAGCATTTCAGAGTGTCTCGCTGTAAAATGCACGCACTTTCAAAATACTTACAACAATGTTGGCTAACCACAGCAAAAACTGATATTTTACACAGGTTAATTAAATAATTTACACGCATTGTGTGCATGCATATGGAAGTGTGTATATAGCGATGCAAGTGTTTGGTAGAATTAGGCTTTCGAAGAATTAAGTGGAAAGTTTGTGAATCATGAGTATGGCCTTTCGGGCTTAAAAATGTGTGTATGTTCATATATATATGTATATAATAATATATTTATGTATGTATGTTTGCAGCATTCAGAGCAGGAGCAAATAATCTGTGCATTCACAAAGTATAATCAGTAACATAAATATGTATAGTATGTGTGTCTGCACATTGTGCCTGCACTCTAACGCTGCACTGGATGCTATTATTGCATCTAGAATGTTTAGAGTTCCAATAAAACAGTTTTCAAATGAATTATGTATTAAGGCGGCGTTATGAAACTTGCAAGGCTAAAACGAAACCGGATTAACGCAGAATTCTAGTATTACTCAGTAGCAATTACGTTCATTCTGAAACAACATTTCTGATTTTTTCTCTTTCTTATAAAAAGTGTTTATGTCAATATATCATACATACGTACATATACATATGTACACACATATACACATGYAMACTCGTATAAAATGCAATGCAAAAACGAACGTGACTCTCTAATAGGTGACTTATCGTCACAGTACTCGTAATGTCAAAAATCGCCAAATAAACAATTGTTGTGCTCAACTAGACGTGCCATCGCAATCGCATTAGTGGATAAGCTCACCCTCATTTCCATATGAATTAGATAATTTCGGATTACTTTCAACTACGGTGTCAAGCGCAATAAGTCAACTTATATACACATGTATGTAGTAAGTATATACGTACATACATATGTATGTGTATACGAATTACGTTTGCTAAATCAATTCATTGTAGATTCTACGAAGCCTAATTTAATTTACGTGTGACTCATTCGAAAGAGCCGCGTAGAATTCGTTTCGTCATCAGCCGAATTCCCCTGCCAACAGGTATATCATACATACGGGTACGTACAAACAACATACATACATATGTACGCATGAATGTGTGAATTAATTAGTATTTGGGGACGGGATTCACTTTGGAATTTGTACTTTTGCGGTTGGCGCACCGGCATCAAAATACATACATACATGCATTACAAATCGCAATGGAGATAATCTGACAGATCGAGTTTTGGTCCATACATCTTATTAACCGTTGTAGCGTGAACGGTTTACAGATGGTCAAAACGAAATGAGAAGTTTAAACTAGCTATGAAGCAAATGTTTCTTTTAATTTTGCAAATGAATAGTTCCTTTCTTAATGATCAATTGAAATATAAATTCCATAGACAGCGCTTCTAGATTATAAAATCGACAGAAGCCATTTTTTATATTAAGTAAATCTTTACATTATTATACATATATAAAAAAATAAATAATTCCTTACCTCCCAACCCAGATCACGTTTTGCAGGCAATTTATTTAGATCGCTCAGTTCCGATCGGCGATCGGCTTCGTCAATGGGGCTTAGGTGAGCTGTAACGGATGAAGGGAAATATTACTCAAAGTATTGATGAGGTGTAATGTTATTAAATTCAAGGAAAAATTATATTAGAAAAGCAAGTTGGTAGAAATGTCCTTAATTCCTATGCCAAATAAGAGCGCGTTCTGTCGGCCAGTTTTTTTACAGCAGCTGCTTAAGTCGGTACACCTCAGTAGTGCGTTATAATTTTTACAAGGGATAAAAATATGGAACCTAGAACTTGTCGCAAATTTTGTATTTCTAAACAAAATTAGTGTGCGGAATCGTTGCGAATGTAGGAAAAGGCACACGCTGATTCATTATTATCAAAAACACAAGCCTTCGAGTCGTGTTAAGCCTTCAACTTGGTCGAGAGATCGTTGTAGACATGCCTCGTTCAGGGCGACCTCTTCAACCGATGAAAATATTAAACAATGAAGGTTCTTGAAAATCGTCAGGCAAGCGTTAGAGAGATCAAGAGAGCTCCACATCTCTGGCATGTTCTTTCGAATGATTTCGGTGGATATTTTGGGTATGAAACGCGATCATGCTTGACTCGTCCCGATATAACAAATTTTTTTTTTCAAAAAGAGTACCGTCTTTGGTTATGCTTGATCGGACGAATTCCCATCCGGCATTCATGGAGAGCATTATAGCTGTCGGTGAGACATGGGTTTATGAGTTGGACATGCAAACAGGTCAACAATTGGTCTAGGAGATAAAAAAAATTCGCTGAAGGAGCTGAAGGTCATCTGAAAAAGTCCAGTTTCAAAGCATTTTCTATCTAGTTCAATTCGCTTGTGTAGCTTGTGAGTGAGTGAGTGATTACCTCCTATTAAACTGTGATGAACTCATGTAACTGTTATTCCTGACGATAAGGAAATTAGTTTATTTAATAGAAGAATTTGAAATGTTGAATGGAGAAGGCCATATAGCCCCTAACTCGATAGCTGGAGGTAGCCGTTTTTCGTTTAATATGTTTGACTAGGACGTCTAGTATGAAGATTCACTCTAAGTTGCATATGTTTGTATATTTGTAGGTGCGTTCTCTCCGCATTCATCTTTTTAAATATTTTACTAATGTATGTAGTTATACAAGTATATATGGATGTATAGTATATTGTATATGGTGGGTATGCAGTCATTTTGCACGCAGCATTTTTTAGCATGTTTTAACTTTACAACTCCCAGTAAATTTATGATAATCAAACAAAGTTTGTGTTTATCTCGCAAACACACATACATACATGTATACTTAATCGTGTGTGCATTTTCATTGGCTTGATTCTTTGCTTTCATTGGAATTTTTCCGAGAAGTTCTATGCAAATTCTGCTACTGTTCGCCAGAATGACGAGCTCCTGCTGTTTTTGTTGTGTGAAGTAATAAACAGGTGCATATTTACCTTTGACGATGTGATAAACATAAAAACAAGCCTACGTATTATTATGTAGATACGCATGAAGGTGCATGAAAAGCTCACGCGTATCTGCTTTAATTGTAGCTGGTTGGAGCAGTTATCAAGTCGTCCAAAGAAAATTTAACGGTACTACATATTAACGCAAACATTTATAGGTGTAGGTGTCAAATGACCTTGATCTTTCTTATCGACGACTAAAAACCTTCAAATTATTAGTTTTATTATAACGTGCGTTTGTATTTGTCTAGGGTATTATTTACATACACACACAAATGACAAATATGTTTTCTCAACTTCTTTCAAGTTCAAAATCACATTTGCACGAACTGTTTATTTGGCGCCCTACATTAAAATACTTTTTTGATCGCTATCAATTGGCATATTGTCCCATATTTGTTATAAATAGTGCCGAAGCCGGCCGAAACAAAAACAACAACCCATCGCCCGCTGCCACATGTATCAATATGCTCTGCACGCGCGTATATTTAATGTGAAATAAGTCAAAATTTAACAGTTTTGGTGTTCCATCTATGTAAATAAGTTACCAGTTATGTACAGTACTAATTAGTTCCAAGCTTTTAGAGTTTTAAAATGGTTTAAGTGGGATTTTTATTGCATTGTATGTCTATATATTTTAAAGAATAACATAAATTGAAATTTCATGAGCTTATTACGGAATACATGTTAAGTTGAAACTCCGCTTAAAGTTAAATAATTGCAAGAATAATCCTTTCAAATGTTTATATAATATTATTTAATTATACATGGAAAATATGCATGAATGTACAAAGCCAGCATAACCAAACTTTATTTAAATTTTTTGTAGTTTTGACAATGTGGAGTAATGAGTTTTTTGGAGTTCATGTTCGCATTTTCAATGCTTGCGGTAAATGCGTTTGCAAATGTCAATCAAATTCAATAAATTGCAAGCCTGTGTATTGGAGCTCACTTGCATTTGTATTGGATAGTCCTACTCGAGCGCCGTCGTTAATATCATTTCGTATGCACAACAGCAACAAAGTATTTAGGGTATTTTTATTCGCATGCGGCTTAAGGCTTTGTGTTGATTATTGTCTTCGAAGCTTTAATTTCTTTCAAGCCCACAATTTGTAGACATGTATGTACATATGTATGGATGTGTGTGTTAAATGGATAGGCGAGCCAACAATATAAAATTGGCCGCAATTTCTGCATTCTTTATCAACTTTTTGCAATGAACTGAATAATTGTTGACGAAAATATTGCAAAATGAAAAAAAGTTGCTAATTTTGTCGTCATGGTCAGCACTAGTAGGTAAACGTGTAAGTAAATATGCTTACCCCATAGGACCCTTAATTTGTTATTCCGGACTAGATATGGTTTAGCGGAAATTTGTAATACGGGTTCCCTAACGATGATTGTTGGCTTGCTTGCATGTCAAACTCATAAACTCATGTCTCAGCAGCAATTATATCAGCATGGCGAAAGAGATCTCTTTATGGTACTCTTTTGGGAAAAAAGTCAGCTTTGATTTATTTTTCATACCCAAAATCATTCGAACGGACTTGCGAGAGATGTCGAGCTCTCTTGCCATCTCTCTAACACTTGCCTGACGATTTTCAACCACCATATCCTCCACTTTTTTAACAAAGTGGTTGACAGATCTGGCTCCCATTTGACATAATAAATATGGACAGCCGTACCAACTTAGCAAAATAATTTTTTTTACCTCGAAATGGATCACCTTTTAATAATTTTGAAACATTTCTAAAACGGTATTACATACTCTAAGTAATCACATTAGCAAGTTAATTTTTTTCGAAAGATTAATTTAGAAAGAATTTTGGCAAGCCTAAATTTCCAACAGGGAATCTATTACTAGTGTTTGTTTGCTGGCATGTATGTAAAACACCTGTTTCGCGCGTTTAGCTGCCGCCTTTGACACTGTTGTCACTGATAGGGCTTTGTTGGCAAAGAAAAAAAAGCAAATGAAAGTAATAATTCTATTAGCTTGTTTGTTGTTGCTGACGTTAATTTAATGTCAATCAAAGCTTTGTATTTTTCATAAACATGTTTTTTACGCACATACATATGTACATATGCACTTAGTAGAATTCCCATGAATCACTTATTATTAATAAACTTATGATAAAATATCTAAAGCGTGTCTTATCAACTTAATTAATTTGCTCTTTTATCTAATCATTAAATTTGCTACTAAATGTAGTGAAGTTCGCTATATTGGACAATGTCCATGAGTATTTATCTTTTATTTAATATTTAGTTATATAATCCAGAGATCTTAATTTTTCAAGACCTCAAAACACTGATGAGAAGTATGAATTTTACTTTTGATTATGAGAAATAAATTTCAATGAAAGAAATTTCGGAAAAATGTGATAGGATTCCATGTGATGTGATGAGTCCAAGAGAAAATGTATATTAATGCATATTTATATTTTAAAAATTTTGAAAGGACCTCATAATTGTTTTAAAAATTGATAAAATGATAAGAGCATATGAAAAGTATATAATTTCGTTCTTAGTTAGGTAAACACCACTGTAGTTAATTTAATATTTACGGAACTCTGTTTCCTTATTTATGTAAACAATTTGTAAAAATACTTAAAATTGCGTCGTTATTTATTGTATTATCAATATCTTAAAAAATTAATAAAAAAAATTAGCAAAATGTTTACAATTTGTTGCAGAACCACCAGATATAAATAGCTACTGAAGCCATGTTAACGTACTTTTTAAAATACATATGTTTGTATGTATGCAAATATAAATGGTATATTTTATGGTTTATTCACCAGCCTCTTGCAAGACTGGCTAAGCCACTTCTACTTCCTCAGACAGGCAAAAAAGCAAATGAGACTCCGTAGAAAAAGCAAAGTAAGAGAAGCAGATACAACTGAATGAAGTCGAAGTAAGAATTCTGCGAATACTTTGCAATTCAAATTTAGTCGAAGGCGTCAAAAGATAACACAAAACATGCACAAGCAGTTGAACAAATATCGAGACATTTTCGTTTTGCGCAAAAGTGCGTATGCTGATAATGAACGAAGTTTAAGACTACATACCTATAAATACCTGTGGTATGTATTGTTTTTGTTTTGTTCTTCGGTGATCTTACCATAGTCTAGGCTGGCTGCAAATGCCAACACGAGAAGGGACAACTTCGGCAACCGGCTCACGTACATTTTTGACGTTTCTGTTGTTGTTGTTGTTATTGATTGGTAAAAGCGTTATTTTCTCTTTTTTGAAGTGGTAGTAAGTTTTCTACACTTGAAATTGATTAAAATATGTTGACGCTTGCTTGTATGAGCACTTCGTTCGCGCACTGTATGGGCCAATAACTTCGCCGTTATCAGTCGCACACACTTATCGGAGCGGTTGATATGAAACCCGCTTACAAAAATGATATCGAATTATTCGCAGTTCTTAATGCCACCGCTATAATTTACGCGGTTTTCATAAAACAAAAAAAATTAATTAAATTAATTGAAATGAAGATTAGCAACTCTCAGCCGGAATCTCCACATTAAGAAATTTGATTTCCGAACTCGTCGATGACGTATAAAGCGGGAATTAAATTGAAAATTTGGCTTAAATCTCTAACTGAAGAGCGCACAATTTAACTTGATCTTGACTTCGCGAATGTTGCTGAAAGACTGTCTAAAATTGGTTGACTGCGACCGTAACGAAGCAATGCAGCAGCGAGAATTTCAAAGCACGGAGTTGGTGGCTGGTGACGCATGTCGTGGTGAGCCCGTGTGGCTGTGCTAAGAGAGTGGAATATCTACTTCGTCTAGGAGAGAAAGCAGTTTGGCACTTAATAAGATACAGATCATAACTGGTTTCTCTGTTAGAAGTGTTCCTAAAGCTCATGTCAGTATAAACACAATGAACTTATACGAAAGCATTTGTAAACATTTTATTTTGTGTATGTGTAATTTCAATTAAAATAGTATAAATAGTTTGGGTGATAGCAAAAAAATACTACTTTATATTAAACTCTTTTTACTTTAAATATATTTTTAATTATAAAAAAAATATCAATTTAATTTGTCAGGTGTGGGGTTCGAACCCACGCTCCCTCTCGGGAACCAGAGCTTAAATCTGGCGCCTTAGACCGCTCGGCCAACCTGACTATATTACTCACTCTGTCAAAATCAATATAAAAGGCTATTCGCAAATACTGAAATATACAATTTTTAGGGTATTTTATTCACTCGGTTTTTGTCCCAACTAATTTAGTTTTCTTTCAAGGAAAATATTATTAATATTGTCACTTAATTAATATTGAATATTGCCAAAAGCCCTGTTGCTAGTGTCCGTATATTTTAATTAGTAATCATTATTAACAAGCAGTCGATAAACGTAAATGTTTGAATGTTTTTTTAATAAATAAATTTGCCAAAAATTGGTTTTTTTTGGAACTTCAACAAATATTGTGTGGACTTGACCTTTGAAACGGTACATAAAACGTACACTGAACAAATTACAATGATTGCTCTGAGCAAACCGTGACCTTGAAACAATAAATATTTGTGGTATTTAATTAAGACTGGTAAATTTATAGCTTACGACAGTTTCCTCCAGAGACTTTTATGGAGTATGTTAGATCAAAAAAATATGTATATTTTGGCTTATGACGACAAAAAGGAGAGAAAGTCTTTGCTTTAATTAAGTTTGACAGTTCATTGTGTAAGCAATGTTGCCTCTGTCATTCTTGGTTCTAACTAAGTTTTATATAATAAGACTCCACCTGTAAAACCAATGATGTATTGGGGTAGTTAAACGACCTACAGTTACTACCATTCAACTACTTCACTGTCCGCACTGGACTTGCTGCCAGCCAACTCCTTGGATAATGAAGCTCTGTTGACTGAGGCCCGGCATTATAACCTCCCATCGAGCTTGAGAAAATGCTATTACATGCTTTTTATAACTTTACTTATAAAGTTTTTCAGGGCTTGAGAAGTATTTTTTGTCAGGACTCTTCCTACTATACTACTATCAAAAAATGGATTCAAAGCTAATCGAAAATATGTCTCCCCTTCGAGGAAACCACCTTTCGCAGTAGCATACATAACGGATTTGGATGTGCAAAACTCACGTCAATGAAAATGATAGTAGTCTACATAAAAGTGAAACCGCAACAAGGTGCAAAAATCGGTCATAAATCAAAATAATAACTAACAGCTAACCGTAATATGGAAATTTCATTGTATTGGAATTTTAATGAATACATAGTTCGGACTTATGAAAAAGTAATTATTTATATCAGGCTATCATTATCGAACTGGTAAAATAGTTGTTACAGTGTTATTTCATGAATTTCCACTCTTAATAAATAATACTAATAATATTTTCATGAGACCTTCTTCCTAAAATAAAAAAAGTTTTCAGTTTGTCAGGTGTGGGGTTCGAACCCACGCTCCCTCTCGGGAACCAGAGCTTAAATCTGGCGCCTTAGACCGCTCGGCCAACCTGACCACATTTAATTTATCACACAAATTCTCTCTTACACAGAATTTTTGCTATACATAAATAATTCATTCTAAAAGCTGCTGCCAGAAAGGCTTGTGTTAATGCTTTTTACCTAAGCGGAGTCAATAACCAGAATGGAAATAAGTTGACATGCATATAACCTGAAAATGTGTTTGCTTCGAAAGTTTTTTAAATATTAAGAATTTATTGCAAACTTTTTTATTATAAATTCGCTATTATGCGTAACTTGTTGGTTATAATTCCACAATACAACCCCTCAGATGGAGCAGTTTTTCAAAAATAAGTACTCTTCCTCCTCATACTTCTGGAGTTATTTATTCTCGGTTGTATCTTTATAAAACGTTAAAATATCCCTTACTGTGATGTTAGAACTAATGCGGGTATGGAACGGTTACTAAACGAGATGGCCGATGGCAGTAACGGGAACGGACTCGGCCAAGTACTGTCAACTCGGCACCATTCCTCGAAATTTCTTCAGGACTGTTTTAAGCCGCTACTAATGGAATTAAACTGATTCGCTGAAAGTCTCCATTTGAAAACCAAAATATTGAAACAATGCAATTTCATGTATAAAGTATTTATTTGCCATAGATACTATTCATGTTAGATATCGTTTTGTGTAGATAAAATTATAAATAGACATTCTTAATTGTAATTTCTTCAATCTACTTTTGCTAATCATAACAAGACATAGTAGTTTCTGTATACTGTTAGTTAGTAAAATAAACTAATAGCTCATAAGACTTATTTTCCATGTTTGTATGCCAATAAGTATACTAATGCCGTACACAAACAAGATAAATCACATCAATTTATTTAATTTTCTCAATCATGAAACTGTAGATTGCGTATGTAGGTTTATAGTACTTGTGGTATTGAGGATGTAGACACAGAAATTTTATAGAATTTAATTGATATTGAATTAGAGTACATTTATACTGTTAGTAATTGCAATTTAAAATTTTTATTATATATTTGATTTAATAGATTTTCGTTAAATAGTGATTCATACATTAAATTTCTAGCTAACTCAGTTGTTGTTTTTAGGCTAACCGAAGTTTTTTGAAAGTTTGGCAATACTGCGCAGAAATTGTTAGTTTTATTGCTGTAAAATACTTTTTTCATTGTTGTTCCATATTTGAAGATAGATTACACTTCTAACTTTTGCAACACTTCGCTATTATTTTAGTATTGTAATTAATTTCTGCAAAAATTAACAAAAGTAATTGCGATACATACAAAACGTTTCTTTCGCAAAACATTTTAAATGATAATTTCATGCAACCCTTACAATACTATAATAATAATAGATTTTTTTTTTTGATAAGAACAAGCTTTCTCCGAAATCTAATGCTACATATATTTCCCTTGCTCTTGTAGACACATTGAAAGCACATTGACTGACGGTTCTTTTGTTTGATTATTAAAAAATCGTTTTGCAAAAATACACATACAATTTCTGTAATAATTTATTTAATTACTACTTTTGATTTACTCAATCATATCAACTTAATAGTTGACCCTTATAAACTGTTTTCAATTAGTCCACATATTCCTTTGCCTTACTTCGCGCGTACCAGCGTACGGCGTTTTAGACATTCCTAGTTATATTTTAGTTATTATTAGCACCCAGATTTTTATATGGTTTGCCGCCGTTGCGTTCCCATTCGCGATTAAATTCATGGTCTAAAATCTCAGCGCCGCGTTTGCGCGTCAAACCGGTCTCCTCCAGGCTAAGTTCGCACATTTGCATGTCATCCACACCTGGCACAAGAGAACAGAAGAAAATAATGAATTATAAAATAAAAGTAAACTCATTGCTTGGTTTTTCTGGTCATAAAACACGCACCTGCCACCAGCAGTATGGGCGGCTTGTCGGCATGCAACTCCATTTGTCGCGCTATCCATTGCCCATCGAAGTGTGCGTACCAGAGGCCACGTTTAGCTAAAAAAAAAAATAGGAAATTGATGAACAAGTGGTAACAAAACACTTTAAAACAATATATGCTCACTGTTTTCAGGCGCATTTGCGCGCATGAATGGTATACGGAAGTAACGGTGTTGGGCAGTAGTAATTTCCTGTTTCGGATGGGCCAATGGTGGTGCCTTGTAAGCTGTATGAATACAAAAATATGAAAATATTTAAGAAATATTGAAAATAACGGCATAAACAGCTTATATTTTGTGCATAAAACATAGAAAGATTCAAAGGAAATTATGTTGAAGGAAAAAAGTCGATCAGTAGTCTAAAAACTTTTTGGCAACATGACAAACAGGCAGTTTAGAGTAAGCAATTCGGAAATCGTTAACCTGGTCGGGCGTTTAGCTCAGAACAATTTTTTATATTACTACAATAATTATTCTAAAAAATACTCGCAAATAGCTCGATAAAAAAACAAAAAAAGTTAGCTTTGGCTGCTTCGAAGCATGAAGTGATGTACTATAAATGGCTATATGCTTCGGTGATCCGATATCAGCGATTGCGACAAATGAGCCTCTTCTTGAGGAGAAAATAACGTGTGTAAAATTTCAGATCTATTTCTCAAAAACAGGGCGACCAGTTCGCATATATATGGATACACAGAGGGTCTTTGCTACATAAGCTCCGCTAGTCACTACTCATTTACATATGTATGTATATATTTTTTAAGATCACCCATGTTTCCTTCTGTGTTTTACAAACTTCGTGGCAAACTTAATATTCCCTTCCCAGTTACAAAAATATGTATGTTTTTGTTTATCAGTTTAAAAGTGTAATGAGTGTTCGCAGCACTAATTTGTTGACGGGTGAGATAACTACTTTATCTAGTGTTTAGCATGTTATCATTAATTGTTTGCGATTATAAAACAATTCGTCATCTGGCAATGAATTACCATGAATATCATATGTATTTGCGGCAAATATTCTTAAAGCACTTTGTGTTGATATATTTTGGACATTTCCCAACACACACAGTATTTTAAGATTTATGCAAGCGTATACAACATTTGTTTAACCTAACATGATTTTAACATATAGTTACAACAAAATCCGATGAAAACGAAAAATAAATTATCATATAGAATTCTCACCTGCTTCCATCACACTCTTCGGTGCTCGTTCGTTCTCCTCCATGGTGGTGCGTTTGCGATTCTTTGCCTTCCAGGCGTGATAGACCTTCAAGCGACGATGGAACTCTTGACG